CAAGACTGTTGAATCACAGATCTGTACTTCTGAAACAAATAACGCAACATATGTTAAGAAAAAAGAAAAAGAAGAAGATAGCAGGAGAGGAAGAATGAAGGGGAGTAAGTCGGAGGGGGAGATGAACCAGGAGAGATGATGGACTCTGAAAAACAAACTGAGGGTTCTAGAGGGGAGGAGGGTGGGGGGATGGGTTAGCCTGGTGATGGGTATTGAGGAGGGCACGTTCTGCATGGAGCACTGGGTGTTATGAACAAACAATGAATCATGGAACAGTACACCAAAACAAATTATGTAATATATGGTGATTAACATAACAATTAAAAAATTTTTAAAAAAAGTAGGCAAAGATCTGAAGAGACATCTCACCAAAAAAAAACACAAAGATGGTAAATAAGCACACGAAAAAGGTACTCAACATCATATGTCATCAGGGAACTGCAAATTAAAACAATGAGATACCATATATACCTATTAGAATAGCTGAAATTGAAACAAACAAACAAATAAACTGACAACACCAAATGCTGGTGAGAAGGGGGAGCAACAGGAACTTTTATTCATTGCTGATGGGAATGCAACATGGTATAGCCACTTTGGAAGATGGCTTGGCAGTTTCTTACAAAACTAAACAAATTTTTTAAAAAGATTTATTTATTTATTTATTTGTTTGTTTGACAGAGATAGTGACAGCGAGAGAGGGAACACAAGCAGGGGAAGTGGGAGGGGGAGAAGCAGGCCTCCTGCCGAGCAGAGAGCCTGACGCGGGGCTCGATCCCAGGACCCGGGGATCATGACCTGAGCCAAAGGCAGACACTTAACGACTAAGCCACTCAGGCGCCCCAAAACTAAACAAATTCTTACCAGCAATAGTACTCCTTGGTATTTACCCAAATGAGCCAAAAATTATGCCCCCACAAAAATTTGCACATGAATATTCATAATTGGCTTTATTCATAATTGCCAAAACTTGTAAGCAACCAAGATGTCCTTCAATAGGCGAATGAAAAACAAACTTAACATCATATGACGGGATGTTTTTGGCAACAAAGAGAAATGAGTTTTCAAACCACAAAAGACAATGGAGGAAGCTTAAATGCATATTGCTAAATAAAAGAAGCCCGTCTGAAAAGGTCACGTGCTGCATGATTCCAACTACATGGTGTTCTGGAAAAGGCAAAACTATGGGGAGTAAAAAAAAAGCCAGTGGTTGCTAAGGGTTACAGGAAAGGGATGGATGAATAGGTATAGCCTAGGGTGTACTTAGTGCAGCAAAACTACCCTGAATGATACTGTCATAGTGGATATGTGTCGCACATCTGTGAAAATCCATAAAATTGTAGAACACAAGCATGAATCTTAATGTAGAAATGTGGACTTTAGTTAATAACAACGCATTAACATTGGCTCATCAATTGTAACAACAAATGTATCATACTAAAACAAGATGTTAATAGTAAGGGAAACTATATGTGTGGCTGTGCGGGGGCGTGCATTGAGGGGATATAGGGAACTCTCTATACTTTCCACTTAAACTTTTTGTAAACCTAACAATGCTCTAAAAAATAAAGTCTACTAATATAAAAAATAGAAAAGCAAAAGAAAAGAAAAAACAGGCTCTGAGTTTCCTATAGACAGATACTTTGCTCACATCTGAGAATCTGCTTATATAAAGAAAAACAAATGTTACTTACTTTCTTGGCCATAGTTTTAACAAGAAGTCATAAGATGATGGGAAGAAGGGACTAGAAGTAAAAATCAGGGTGGGGAGGCAGGAGACTAGAGAAAGGAAGGAAAGTCCTAAGGAGGATGGGAGGGGGCAAGTGGAATTTTCTTATGGTCCTCATGAGTTTTGAATGTGTCAGGTTGATCAGGGAACTAAAGTTCTAACTCGATGGTTAACAATAATTAGAGAATGAGTTGGCAATGTTTAAATCCAATCCCCCCCCCCCATGTGACACAGGTCCATTTTACAACAACTTGTCATCATTAACTGCCACAGCTCAATGGAACCAACAGGGGAAATTAATAGGTATATTAGCATTCAAAAGGATACACAGTATCCTAAGAACTTTATGCTGCACCACACCATAGCTGGGTCGTCTGTAAAGGGTTTCATGAACCCTGGTTCTTGCTATTAAAAGTGATCCTGGAGTTTGTACTCCATAGCTTGAGCTAAATCTTCCCATAGGTTGTTCAAAATGTCACCCACAACATAAAAGTCAAGTAGGTAGTTTTCACTGCATTCTATATGAGGATAGTATTTTGGAGGTGTGCTTTCTAGCAAGTAGCAGTTTCTCTACAAATCCGGGTTTCAAACCACAATCAAATTCTGCTTCTTATCCTAATAGTAAACTAACTGGGAGGGCAACCCAAGGGACATCCAACTCACTTTTTTAAAAAATCCTCTTAAACGCTTTGTCATTTATAATCTCAAACAACCACTCCTGGTATTCATTTTCACTTAACTGGGCAATTGTGTTTCAGATATATACATATATAAGGAATTGTACAAAAATATGTCAGGTCTACAAGTCATCCACTTAATCATCCAGCACACAAGTTTTAAGGATTTTCTTGTGCCAGAGACAACTGTAGTGCTAGGAGACGAGGATGCAACACTGAGTAAGACCCAGTAACTGCCCTCAAGGTGTTATAGACCGGGAAAAGAGGGATATTAAAGATACCCTCTTGATTATATACCTTGTGATTGGAATTCAAAGATCCAATACTCTTATAATAATAGAAAACAAAGGTCCAGATGAAACAGTTCTATGAAATGACATAATCTTCCAACTTAATATGAAAGTTTACCAACAATGATGTAAATTTCTAATTTTGATGGAGAGAACTTCATTTCAATGAAAATTCCTAATGTCACATTCAATGAAATTCTTGCACAACAAAATGTGTTATAAAATTCCTTGGGATTTATTCCCAGGGTAAAACGTAACAGCAACTTTTAATGGTGAGGTTCTAGAATGTACTTGACAAGGGGCACTGGAAAACAATAGAATTTTTTCCCAGGTGCATTTATCGGTAAGGCAGTATTTGCAAAATGCCTACATATAGAGAAGAACCGCCAGTGATAATTTACCAGAGTCAGTGCTCTAGTAATTAGGAGATAACAAATACTTGGTTGTGACATCAGAATCTTGGCTACATGGCCAGCCAAATAAATATGAAAGTCAAAGGTAATATTAAAGGCCCAAAAGCAAAGATTCACAACTGTACCCAAAACTGAAATACTCAAAATGATGGTTAGAGACACTAGTTCAAATACTTTTCTACAATTTCAACATTACACTGTGTCTCTGCACCATTCGGTGATGGACAAGGTCATCAATAGATACGGAGGACACAATCAGTCATGCAGCTCTGAATTTCTGAGTTCATTGGATACATGTGGAGAATTAATGACAGAAAGATTTCCTAAAATCTTCTGAAGAGGCCTCAATCTCTTTCTGTAAGCAAAAAGAGTAAACAAATTACATGTAGACAGCTGCCAAGTAGAGATGTGAAGCAGAGCAGATTTAAGCAAACACATCCTTAGAATCTGACAACCCAGGGGACTCTCTAATTCTGTTTATCAGTGATTCCAGAAGAGTGCCATGGATCAGTGATTCAGGAAGCCCACTAAGTATTAAGAAAGAATGCTTTACCCAGTATGAACTATGAAAAATCTACAGCTTTTCCTTGGGTTGGGAGCACATAAAGTTGTTACTCCGAGTCAATCTGTAAAGAGGTTATTTTCAGATTAGCACACATTTCTGTCCTTGATTCTATTCAGTTCAATATCTTTACCAATAAATTGGAAGAATACATAAAGAAATGTCCACCTTGTTGAAGATCAAACTCTGGAGTTGTCTCTGACTACAACATCGGGCTAGAAATAGCCTGAAATTTAGATTGCCTTGCATTCATGTTTCCAATTTTAATCACTCAAATTCCAAGTGAAGAATATTTGGCTTTAATAATAGCTCATGTCGAAAAGAACTTTTAAGAAAAGGTCATCATTAACATTTTGAGTTTTTTTTAGCTAATTCTGACACATCTAAAGAAGGTAACTGATATTCCAATTCCCTGAATTTGGAATAGTAGGGGGGTCAGGTCAAAAAAATACACATTAAAATTTGGAGGCTAGTGGTCATATGAGTCTAATCCCTAGCACCTAGAACAGTGCTTGGTACATGGTAGGTATTCAATAAAGAGTTTGCTTCCTTCCAGGTGACAGCCTGACCTGCATCTAACAATCCTCGCTTCCCCTGGGACAACCCTAAAAGGCCATCCCAGATGCAAATGTCCCTGTGGGAGGCGTCTGTTGCAACTGTATTACAGCTCGACATCTTCCTCTGCCCTACGCCGATGCTACTTTCCTCCCTCTTCCCAACTGTTGTTCCCTCTTGGAGAGTCCCCAACAAACCTCCTACATAGAAAATTCAATAGCCTCAGATTCTATTTCTGAGGAAACCCAACCAATAACAAAAGCTATTATCTTAACACACATTTCTACAAGTGCACAGCTATGTCTTTACAAAGAAGTAGACCTGTGTATTAGGAAAGTGTACTGGATTAGGAGAGAGATGTAAGCTCCTAGTAATATCCTCTCACAGCAATGTGACCCCGGGTGAGGCAATCTTTCTAAGTGTCCCTGTGATAACAAATGCATAGAGCATATATGAACGCCCTCTGTAAGGCATGAAGCAGTGTGCGAACACTAGGTGTTTTAATTATGAAATATGATGCTTTGATTGCAGTTGCTGACCCCCCATCACTCACATGTTAACACGATGAATAAAAAAGCAACAATTTTATACAAGGCCCCTAGCAGGAAGTCTTTAAAGTGAAACCTAACTGCCATCTGAGTTGATATGCTAGAGTCAACCTGGGAAGATACCAACAAAATGAACTAGGTTGGTGTACAAACAGTAAGAATTGGTCATTATTGTGTGTGCACAGAATAAACTAATGAAAGTGAAAACTATTCCTCTGGGCAGGGACGTGAGGATAGACCTACAAAGGGTGGTTCTCATTACCAAAAGCTGAGTTTTACAATGAAAGAAGGATCAGGTATCAACACTTGAGGCTTATATCCTTTCTGAGACCTATCGTCATCAGCATCTAATTCACCAAAGCTCTGGAAGCACGCATTTTCTTGTAAACAAAGCAAGGCTTTGGATCATAAACAGAATTAGGTTGCAAAGGGACTGATGTTTAAAATAAGATCATCATCTTCCAGCCCAATACTCTCCTGGCATCTGGATCTTTGAAGCTGGAAAGCAAGAGAGTGTACTCCTTTGTAAGTCAAGACCCTTAGGAACTGACGGGTCAGGCTCTACGCACTTACAAAAAACCAATGAATTCAGTGATCCATATCTAAAGTGCTGCTCAGCAATTCTGCCTGGGCTGTGATTTGTGTTGCTCTTCAAATTGATTATTTCCAACTTTCTCTGCTCTTCCTGAACACTGATACCCTCCTGCCCTGCTGTGAGCTAGTAGGCTTGCTTCTTATCTCACTGAGAAAGTAAAAGTCATCAGAATAGAACTTCTGCTTCTCCCTAGTACCCAAACCCCCAACTCACCTGTCTCTCTATCATTCTTCTGCCTTTCGGCTCTGTGCCCTGCAGAGCCTGCCCCCACCCCTCCACTGGGCACTGGGTCCCATCTCTACCCCTTTCAGAGGCATCACCCCTGCAATTGACCCCTCCCTCTCTAGGAAATGGGTCCCGTCAGGAGAGACAGCTATACTACCTGACAAAGTAGAAAAAAATCCTCCCCAGATTCCATGTCCCCTTCCAGCCACCATTCCATTCTCTCTTCCCCTAAAAAGAGCAACCTACGCAGACTCACTTCCTTCGCTCCCATGTTCACACGTGCCCATTCTATTCACCTTCGCCTTTTCACTCTTCAACCTCTTGTGCTGTGACTATTACCACCCTCTGCCCAAATCCGATGACTAGTTCTCAGCATGCAGTCCTTCCTCCACTGCTCCCGCTCTGGGGCATTTGGCAGAGTTCTCACTGTTTTCGCATAGAACATTTTTCTTCTCTTGTCTTGCAATCAACAGGCTCTCCCTTTTTTCCCTAGCTCACTGTGTGTCACTTCTTGGTCACGGTGGGTCCTCTACATCTCCCTACCTCTATTTACCAAGTTGCTCAGGCCAAAACCACAGAGGTTTTTGGGAGGATTAAATTATATGACAGGAGTAGAAATGTTAAGACATTTCCTTGCTCACAATAATGGTGCAATATGAGTTAACTGTTATTTTATTACATTTTAAATAAAAAATATACAATACAGACAAAAGATAGGGAAGAACGGTAGGAGGAACTAAACACAAAACTCTGGATAAATGTCAACTCATGAAAAACAGGAAAAGACAAACACGCTCCCAAAGGGATGGACAGTTCCCTTCAGAGAATAGACTGACATCATTTAACTCCTCAGACAGATTTCAAAATGGAACACCTACCTCCACCAAATGGAGGCCTAATCTCTACTGAACAGCCCAGTTGTCAACTTGTTAAATGAGGGGGGTAAGATTCAATTTAGATGAAGCAATCAACAGGAAAAAAAAAAATCAGTACTTACAGCAAATTCATGAAGCAAAATGCACTTACACAATTTTCTAATGTTCACACTCGTTATGAGCAATGCGTGTGCTTTAAAAACTTCACTAAGGAAATACGTCAGGAGGAAAAATGTTAAACCCTAGGTAATTTCTGTAGGACTAAACATTTATTATAATATAGTAGTTCTTAGGAAACACCTAGGTTAACCACTGCACAGAGCAGATAAGGCAAATGAAGCCTGAAGAGGATAAATGTATTGCCCGAGGTCGTACCACTAATCAGTAGTTAGACTGGCTTTTCTCATTCTTGCTTATATATTCCCATCCCTTTCTTTAGTCATTTAAGTGATGTTTGCTAGGAAAATACATACCTAGTGTTTCCATAGCCCTATTGGAATTCTCATCACGTGAGAAAAAAGCTCCAGTGAATCAGGGACTATTTCTGTTTTCCCCACCACCACCACTGTTTGCTAACAGTAAGTGCTTAATAGTTGTGTACTGAATAATTGTGTTAAATGTCCCAGTTTCATCTTCCAATGCCTACCATCTAACGTGGTATCTACCATATAATTGTTGCCAGTATATAGTTTTTGGAAGCATGGATGCATCTGAGTGAATGGCTCCACTTTGACATGTGTTAAATTAAATTCACTTGAGGTCAAATATGGAAACTAGAAATGATGAAAACCCCAGTGATCCACCTCCTCCTCTGTTTGAAGATGGGCTAAACTTAGTGACTCACAAAAAACAGCATCGGGAAAGGAAAAAAATTAGTAACTTTACAGTGGAGAAACCTAGCAAATACAACCTTAACCAAGTGATCAGGTTACCATCATCACGGATGTCATGTGGATATCAGGTTACCCCTGATATAATGGAATAAAAAAGGAGACCTCACCTTTCCAGTATTTTTTTTTTCAAGAACCTATAACCCCACTCTTATTATGTGTTAAACAACAGACAAACCCAGATTGGGGGATATTATACAGGATACCTGGCCAGTATTTCTTAAGACCATCAAGGTCATGGGGGGAAAAAAAAAGTCTCAGAAACTGCCACAGACAAGACTGGGAAGACATGCCCACCCGATGCCATGTGATGTCCTGGATTGGAATCTGGGATAGAAAGTCCAGAGTTTAGTTAATAGTAATGAAGCACTATCTGTTTCTTTGAAAAAGTTAGCACAGGAATATAAAATGTTCAACAATAGGGAAAACTGGGTGAAGGGTATACGGGAAATCTCAGTAGTAACTTTTGTAGTAACTTTGTAACTTTTTTAGAAATCTAAAATTATTCCAACAATAAGGTTTTTTAAATGTATTTGTTTTATTTTTAAAGGTTTGATTTACTGATTTATTTGAGAGAGAAAAAGAGAGAGAAAGAAAGCATGAACAGGAGGAGAAGCAGAGGGGGAGGGGAAAAGCATCTGAAGCGGACTCTATGCTGAGTTTGGAGCCCCACTGGGGCTCGATCCCACAACCCCAAGATCATGACCTGAGCTGAAGCCAGGAGTGGGACAGTCACTAAACGGACTGAGCCACCCAGGCACCTCTTCATTTATTTATTTGAGACAGAGAGAGAGAAGGAGAGCACGAGTAGGGGGAGGGGCAGAGGGAGAGGGAAAGCAGAGCGTGGAGACTGACGCAGGCCTCCTGAGACCCAGAGATCAAGACCTGAGCAGAAACCAAGAGCCAGACACTTAACCGGCTGAGCCATCCAGGTGCTCTTAAAATAAGAAGTTAAAAAAAAAAAAAAATCAGTGCCGAGTACCAGATGATGCACATAGGAGGCTGTCTTAGGACTGAAGAAAGCCACGTGCAGATATGTGGTCAGATCACCAAATATGGGCATTCAGTGTTTACACGTCTCACAGTTTTAAATATCCTGCCATCAGAGCCGTCTCTTGCACTGGCAGACAAAATACATATAAATTAAGTGATTAATTATGTTCTCTTCCCATAATCTTCCTGTGGTATTTATCAGTGTTTTCAACACTGCTTTTGAAAGTGAGAACGTGAGTTGGAAGGTGGTAGCAGGTGTACTTGGAAGTGAGAGCCGTGAGTGGAGGAGGTTGGCTGGCTTCGGGACCTGCAGACCGCAGGGCAGCCAGTGTGCCTATAGTGTGTCTTCAGCAACAGCAATCACCACAATCCGAGCTCCCGCTTTTGGGGAGCATGCTAGCATGCCAGACTTGGCCCCGGCGGTTTCATCTACGAGATTACCTTTCACCCTCTTAGTCTAAGAGGCTGCAATGATAGTCTCATTTTAGAGGTGAGAGGTAGGATCATCAGAGAGATGAATTACTTGGTCAAGGTTGCGACTGTGATTCAAACACACACATTTCTGACTCTTTCACCACGTCAGTAAATAAAAGGCACCTCTTAATATCAATCATCTTCGCCAGAGAATAATACACTGAGATATTATATCTTATACATTATATATACCTCTAAATACCCATATAATTCCCATTACACTGAGAAAATGTAAAAGTGTCGTTGAACACTATATTTGATGTACAACAAATGTTAGTCCTCTCCTACCTTTATAGGCTACACCTATTTTCGATTAGTTCCAAACTGGTTTTGGCTTGTGTTTCAGGGCCTAGGCTTGTGTGAATTATCAGGGCAATTCAAAAGCGCAGAGTAAGCTCACGCCAGAAGTCAATTTTAGCCCGTTTACATGGGATAGAGTTAAATCTTGGCCAGGATCAAGTTTTTCTAGATATAAAAATACATGTTGTATCAGTGAAACTCCTTTGGAGTTAGAAATATAACAGATTTTCAAAAACTAACCACCCTCTACCTAGACTATATGATTACGTGCTTTATTAAAGACTCATTTATATACTTCATTCAGATTATGGGAGTGAGTTTCTGCTATCATTATGGATTGACTTTATGGATCTTTTTAAACATTTCTCTTTATGTTCTATCTTTTAGGCTGAATAGACTTTCTTCTTGGACATCATAACCATTATCCTGAGGGTTAATAATTCATAAAGCCAGTGATGAGAGCCTAATTATTTTGAGAAAGTCTGAAATTTACCGGCAAGCGCTGGAGGAAGGGACTGGCAAAGACTAACCCTCTTCATGCTATTATTTTAGGGGGAATTTCCCCGGGCAAGTTGGAGCTAAATGGAAGGGGGATGGTAAATCTTTGAAATAGTGTCGTCATCTTTCTCTATGCTAAAATAAGCAAGGTAATTAAAAGGGCTGCCATCCTGTAATTACCAAGGAGTCCTGCCTTACGGACGGAAGTGGGGCTTTGTTAGACAACAAACATTCGAGCTTGTAATCTAATATGAATAATGATCCAGACACATGAGCAAGATCTATTAAACAGTGATGGCAAACAGCCACATGCTGCCTGGATGAATCACTCAGTGCATCATCCAGAAAGGGAACTAATTTTTTTAAGCCCAGTAATGCAGTACTGCTCTGGTTTAGGGTTTGTAAGGTTGACAATCAATAGATGGCCTAAGAGGATTCACTCCCTTTGGGATGCAGGTCAGAGTGCAGTCCTCAAATCCCTTCTATCTAGATGTGTCCTATGCATTTTGTTTAATTAATGCTTCTGAAATAACAGATCTATTTTGGCATTGAATGTCACATATGGACTTGAACTGGTTTTTGTCTTTATACTCTGTTTGAGCTCTGCCAGACCTGCCTGTGAATGTGTAGTTGGTTGAAAGTTGGAATCAGACAAGAGAGCAAAGGTAAGAATCAAATATATAACCCTGAAGGACAAACTTCCCCGAGCAACCACAGTTTAGAAGCATCACAACTATATATTAAATGTGGAATGCCTGACTTGGCCATCTTTACTTCTAATTAATATATTGTTTCCTTTGGACTCAATCTTTAGAACGAGCTAACTCCTTGATTCCCTCTTTGAGTGTTTCTTTGTCTTTCTGAGACCCAAAGACACTGCTGAATTTACTGGATTTATATTTATACCAAGTCCCCTCCCCCAATTTGATATAAGAAGTTTCCTTACAGAGAAGTTTTATCACATAAGATACGATGAGTAAAGCACTTGCTAGGAAATGTCATCTTCTTGTAAAAACTCAAATCAACAATTACCTCTGGCAATGGTGGACAGATAATGCCATGGAAAAGACAGAACAGATAATTGAAATCCACCAATAAGCCTCAAATCTCATTCCAGCCCCAAATTTCAAATGCTTCCCTACTCCCAACTGACTTTCTTCAGAGTCGAAGGTATGCTGAAAAATATGAACTGACTTGAGATACATTCGTTCTTTTTTAGTTTTCAAAAATTATAAGCTATTTGTCTATAAGTTTGAGATGAGAAAAGATATAAAACACTCTTCTTTATAAGTAGCCTTTAAAAGTCAGTTTAACGCACACTGTAGCTACACGTCCCAATGCAAACATGTATGTCCATCATGTTATGAGTTAAATTAGATTTTGTGCTAGTCTGTCACTTATAATCTCATTTATATTAGAAAATATAATTGGTTATTTATAGAGGGGAGAAATGTAGAGGTTCAGGGAATTGCTCCTTCCCCACTTCAAAGTGTCCCACCAAAGGAAATGAGAGAGAAGAACAGATAGGGGTAAGGCAGGGGAGAAGCTAGAAGGTACTGATGTTTAAGGAAAAGAACCAGAAGGGCTAAGGAAGCTGAAGTTGCAGAGAGAATTGAGAGACAGGAAATTTCACACAGAATTCTCTGGGCGGTTCAGTGATTGGGCTACCAGGGAAATGGACCCTTCCTCATTGCCACATCCAGATCACCCTGCCCTCACCCCTGAGACTGAGCCTGGATTTCAGGATTTCCATCCACTAAACCCATTCCAGATCACAGGTCAAGAATCAGAGCTTGGAAGTCATTATCCCAGGAATGTGTCCCCTTCTCAATTCCTGCCAGTTTAGCCATTCGTGTCTTCCACAACACTAGATAGGTCCATATTGGAACCGGTTGGTGGTCTTAAGTTTATAAACCTCTGGTTCTCTATCAAACTCCTCCTGTTCTGTTGGCATCCCTGCCTGTGCCCTCGGATACTGGTCCTGATTTTCTCTGACTTTACTGCATTTGACTATTGGCCTCCACAATTATGACAGAGGCCAGAACCCTAATATCTAACACACCTGCAGTCTTAACATCTTCTGGCTTACTTTACCCAGTTACCTCATTTATCACAGTATAGACAGGGATCTAACTTAGTGAATGGAATATAAAAAGTGCCCAATAAATACTGAATGATAGATAAAATGAACTAAAAATCAGCTATGCATTTAAAGAAGCATATGGAAAATAGGAACATTGAGAAGTATTCATATGTGGAGTCAATTTAAGATTTCAGGAACAATGTCACCTCATCAGCTGTGAATCACTTTATCATGACAGTGAGTATTCCGTGGGCCTCTGATATTTATGCAATCACATAATAGCTAGATGTGTTGGACATGTTTTTGCGGATAACTCTGTCACACCTTCAGGAAGAATGAGGAGAGTATTTGGTAATGTAGACTCCAGGAAGAGACTTGCGCTGTCTCGAGAGTTTTCTAGACATTATGATACCTTACGACATTCGCCAACTTTCTGCTTTCTCATCTTAGGTAAACCTGAGACAAAAGTGGTTAATAAACCAAGATATCCTAACTTGGCCTCTTCAGCATAATAATTTTCTTCTGCTGTTTTCCTTTGCCCAGTTCCATTTTCTTCAGTCCATAAATCATTGCTTGGGGTTCACATGGTACTATGCTTCCCTTCATTTCCCTAACCATTGTTTTCAGACACAAGATGAATCTATCCATCAACCCAAGGAGGATCAAGCAACTGAAGATAGGCTGATCACATGAGATCAACTAGGCACTTCCAACTTACAAGCTTCCCGAAGCTTCTCTTTGTCATAGTGGAATCCTTCATAGTCTTGTAAACTGATTTTGTTCACCCGGATCCTCAGGCGGTCTGGGACAGACTGGGGACTGCAAAACAAGAATCGAGTAGTCAGACAAATGAGTGAGTGGAATTGCGAGTCACATGCACCTGGAAGGACTAACGGCAATAATGTCTCTTCATGCTTGGAAGAGATGTCACTCATTTAAACCAGAATTGTAGGTTCTTGACCAGAATACGGCCATTAACTGGAGAATACATCCCCAGAAACCTCAAGTTTCTGGAATTTAGGTAAGAACGTGGAAATGGGCAGAAAAAAGCTTCTGGAAGCTATGCATATCCTGTTTACTATTAACTTATTAAGAGTTCTAGTAAGATCATGTGTTTAGCTTCACAATAAATTAGACACAGTTAATCTGAAACAGTGAGACATGGCGTAGAGCTGTAAAAAACTGCTCTAGGAAAATATGCCCCTATCAGCCAAATACAGCAGTTTGACCCTCAGAAGAGACAAAAACAAACAAACAAACAAACAAACAAATAAAAAAAACCTTCTAAAAAGCAGACCAAGAACTGAAAAAGCACAGGATTGAGATCGAAATACCTCTACGTATCCCAACAGTCTGAGAGCACCTCTCAAAGCTTATGACGCCTGTGACGGTGATTTTGAGGGCCTCAAAATGATGAAAAAAAATTTAAAATATGCATGATGTACTTTCTTTAGAAAGGGAATGAAGTTGTAATTCATTTTAAAAAAAAACTCAATCCAAACTGGTTCAGGATACATGTCAAACAATTAAAAGAGGGTGGCACCAAGCTTTCTGAAGCATCCTGTTCACTCACAGAATGCCCATGGGTTGTACAAAATATTTTCAAAATAGTCTAATCATCAGCATTAGTTGAGTGAAACAATTTTCATCATCACCACTATGGATCAATGCATTTCTTCAATGTATCAATATAACACAATCCCCATTTGTCCTTCAGTATTACCTTATACTTAGATTTCATTGGTTCAGATCATTTTAGCAAAAACAGGATTGCTTCTCCTTTCTCGTGTTAATTGGATAAAAGTCACTATTGACCAAAGGAGAAAGAATAGCATTACTCTTCTATTCATTTCAGTAAAGGAGGGAAGGACTGGAAGAGGGAAGAGGGAAAGAAAGAGAAGAGAGTGAGAAGGAAGAAGAAAAAGATAGATGGCACGAGGGAGGGCTAAGATACTGTCAGGACCCCCACCTCAAACACACACATGCGTGAAATTTCACTGCAACTCTGAAAGGAGGGAAAAATAATTGAATCTCATTCTCTTGCCTCACACCTCATCTTAGGGCAAAGTATAGTAACTCCCTCCATAGAGACTCCCACTCTAAGACCCCCAAAACAACATATAGATCCAACTATGGATACATATGTGCACACCCATACATAGTTCTCTTCCTCCTCCCACACAAAGATATTTAGATACAAGTGCATAAATTCTAAAGAGAGATGGTGGACAAATAAAAATGTCTGAAGTTCACTGGGTTAAAAACTAAGCCAATACGAAATACAAGACGGATAATTCTGAGGGAAAGTTTTGAGAAGACAAATCAATAGACTAGTCCATTCAAAGTGTGTCTGTGGGGTGTCCACTTTGTATTGGGCATTGTACTGGACATGGAATAGGCGTTGATAAGTAAAATGGGCATAAGCTGTGATGGGAAATAGGATTTGAAGGCATGTTTTGAGTTAGTGTTAACTATACACCTTAAATATCACAGGTGTCCTTACATCATTTACAGACAGGGAAGCTGAGGTTCAGAAAGGTAAAGTGATTTTATGGTCACAGAGCTGGACATAGTGGCAGAGCTGGGAGCAGAGTCTCAGACTCTTCACTCATCAGTTTCATGCTTGTTTTATTGTATGGTGCCAAGAATCCCATGGATTTGACAATAAAACCACAGAGCCTGAATTAACAAAGTCAAATGATCTCTATGTGGTGTTCAGACTCCTATCGATAAGCAATCAACTGGGGGATAGTTAAGTAAACTCTGACGCTGAAACAAGAAAACACTGGGCAAATATTACAAATGAGTGTGTAGATCTACATCTTTTTAGAGGGAAGTCCCACTATAACATTGTGACATTGTTCAGTGAAAAAAAAAAGTCATGGAAAATTATATCTGGAATAATCTCCTTCATGTAAACTGTGGAATTTCAGCATTTGTATATGTACACAAGTGTCTAGAGAGAAGTTCGGTGAGCTATCCCAAGCAGTTATCTCTACATGACGGGATTTAAGGATTATTTTACATCGAGAATCATCATTTTTAGAAAAAGATCTTAAAATTATGTCAATATGTAAATAAATGATAACTCAGAACCAGAGTAAAAATAAGAGTTACAGCAAAGAATGTTAGGTATTAGATGTGAGTGGGTAGGAAAGGATAGGAAAGAATTTAAGCAATTAACGGTGACCATACAGTGTACAAGATGCTTATCCTGAAATTAAGAGGGTTCTGATCCTTTTATTTTCAAGTTCACCCTAGTGACCTGAAAAGATTGTAATTAAGAAATATTTCCCCACAAGTACATCAGGTAAGAGGGAAGCGGGAAGCACAGAATGTGGTGGCCCACCATACCCTCTGATGGGAGATGGCAGGAGGACAGAGGTTGAAGGAGCTCTACTTCAATACATTTTGAGATGACAGTAGGTCTAATGACAGTGAGCTCTAGCATTCTCCAGCGGGCTAGAGACATCAGGAGTAAGACCTGGTTCCAGCCGTAGCTGTAGAGTAGAAAATAGGGTTCAGAGAATGCATACAGACCAGTCACTGTACGTCTTTCTCCCAGGAGCTCCCCACTAGCTAACCAGTGCGCACCGCCTTTCTCACGGTCCGTCCGTGCCCGTTCCCTGCCCACATGCTTCTACCTCCCAGCTTTGCATCTGTGCCCACCAATTCCAGACACACACTGCTGCCTCCTGAGCCACAGCCTCCACCAATCTTCCTTACAGGTGGCACACCATGGACATACAACAGGAACTGTCATTTGAATGGAACTTTCCAGAATCCAAATGAACTCATGTACTATCTCACTTCACCTCCAGAGCGATCGGCTAGGTAGGAGACAAGAAAACGGAGACTCAGTAACTGCTTGTCACTCTCCCCCATCCCACCTTCTTATACACTCACTCGCTCGCCCTCAGCGCCCATCTGTTCCTGGCGACCAGCAATGCATCCCATGTTCCCACCAGCAGCAGCTGGCTTAAACCCACTCTTCTGATGAGGGTACCTGGTGTTTGGCCTGCTGTCAAGTGTTGGGGCCCATCCACAAATTTTAGGGCAATCACGGGGTCCATGATGGAAATCTCCTTCAAATTCTTTTGGATCCTGGCGTAAAGACTAGGCAGCTCAGCAGAGTGCAAGAGCTCAGGCTCTGAGTCAGATTGCCTAGCCGTGAAGTACACTTCTTCCACCGGTTAATCAGGAAACCCTGTGCTTCAGTTTCCTCCTGGGTAATGTAGAGATAGGAACAGGATCCACTTCACAGAGATACTGGGAGGATGAAATGAGTCAATACAGAAAAGTGCCTGGCACATTGTAAGTGCTCAGTAGACACTAGCTATTATCAGGACAATCATTATTCTGAAAGCTGCTCCCCTAACATACGGTTCTGCTAATAAGCAGTAGCATCTGCTGCTGCCAGGTAGTGGGAGAAGTTTAGGGTGCGTGCTGGGGCCGCCCTAGGCCTTCTGACCCGCTGCTGGGCTTCCTCAGTTGAGAAACGGTCTGGTCTGGACAGTGCCATCATTCTCCTGGACCTTCTCGCATAGGTATTTTACAGGCCAACCAATAACATGAAAACAGACAACTAGAAGGTGGGAAAGATAAAATACACAGATACTAAGTGAAAGCCAAGTAATTCAATTGGGTCCCTTTATGTCAAAATATATTAATGTCCCATTAATGGCTGAGTGGAGGCGGATGATGACAAAGCTGTTCCTTGGAGTCTGGGGAAGAGCAGTGCCACTAGTTTTCTAAAATTGCATTTTCCCAAGAAAGTTAGTAGAGCATAGAAGAGATGAACATCCTGGATAAAAATGGATTTGCCTCCATGCCAACATCTACCACCAACTATCCCGATACTGATGCAGGCTCTGTAGCAGGGGTTCTAAACCAGACTTCCTTGGAATCACTCAAGGTTCTGAAAAGGAACTCAACAATCTTGGAATTCCCTTTGAAATCAAGACAGTGACCTCAACCTATCACTTCCTCACAAATTTCCTCTGAAATGTCAAGACTGAGTTTTTTGTGCATGTTGGAATTTCATGGCTCTGGACATAACTCCCAAATGTCCCCATGACAACTCCCTCAAGAACTACCATAAAGCATCTCATTAAAATCACGCACTTGGGCTCCAGACCACACCTTCCCATATCCACATTACACACACCTGTTACCTTGAGGTGCTGGAGGGGGAGGGGCGAGGTGGAGCACCATCCAGACAACTCTCAGAACACTCACTGCTACTCAACTTACATCTTCCTTACTACACAGGTTTCTCTCAGTCCTCATAACACACTCTGCTCATTCCAGCCTTCTCACATGGATACCCGTTACCGACCAAGACAATGAGTTGGGGGCTTTTGTTCCCCAAGGTCACTTCACAGCCAGCAACACCACATTAATTCCCTCTTTTCACTGGAAACATGAATCACCTGGGAATAATATCCTTTAATATTAAGACACTAAAACACAGTGTGTAATGCAAGACGCAAACTCAGAAGAATCTTAGTTCCAATCCGAACTCTTGTCAATTAACACATGGTTGACATTGAGAACTCTGAAGTTACCTTGGCTAAACTATTTTCTGATCTGAAAATGGAACTGATAATAGGAATATGTGAGCATTAAATGGGAAAATACATGTAAGGCAGTTAGCATATCCCTGGTAAATAGTGTTAAGTTATTGTTGTTCTATTTTTATTAATACCCTGATGCTTCAACTTCCATAAGCCTTTTTTAGAAAATTTAATCCTAGATAATATCATAGCAGAAGGCAGAGTTACAGTTGTAAGCAGCAGTTAGTAGATACCAAACCTTAG